AGTTGAAAATTATATTTAAAATTATAGTTAGGACTTAGGAGATGTAAATTTGATAATATTAAAAAAATATTATTTATAATAATATTTAGGAGATAAAAATAAAAAATAATATTTAGGAGACAAAAATCTGATAAAAATAAAAAATAATATTTAAAATAATATTTAGGGGATACAAATATGATAAAATTCAAAAATAATATTCAAAATAATATTAAGGAGATAAAAATTTGATAAAAATTTGATAAAAATTGAAAAAACAATTACAAATATGACATTAGGGTTTCTTAGGGTTGCCCTAGCGTTTCTTTTTTTTATATATAAGATAATATTTAGGAGATAAAAAACTAATTAAAACATGATAAAACTCGAAAAAAATATTTAAAATATTATTTAGGAGATATAAATTTGATAAAATTCGAAAATAATATTTAGGAGATAAAAATCTGCTAAAAGTTGAAAATTATATTTAAAATTATAGTTAGGACTTAGGAGATATAAATTTGATAAAATTAAAAAAATATTATTTATAATAATATTTAGGAGATAAAAATAAAAAATAATATTTAGGAGACAAAAATCTGATAAAAATAAAAAATACAATTTAAAATAATATTTAGGGGATACAAATATGATAAAATTCAAAAATAATATTCAAAATAATATTAAGGAGATAAAAATTTGATAAAAATTGAAAAAAAATTTACAAATATGACATTAGGGTTTCTTAGGGTTGCCCTAGCGTTTCTTTCTTTTATATATAAGATTAGGAGGTTTAAAGTTAAATTTGAATAAAAAAACACATGAGAAGTTACCGAAATTGCCCCTACAAGATTGAATTCGGAGGTCCCGAATCCAACGGTCGAGATTGCTCCTCCCACGAATAATCCACTTTCACTGCCCTATAAAACCCCTCCCAGCACACCCCCCCCTATTACGATCGATCATAGCTAAATCTCAAGCACGTTAGAGAGAGAAAATATCACAGCGACCAATAAAAGAAAAAAAAAATGGCGAACCCCAGGGTTTTCTTCGACCTGACCATCGGCGGCCAACCGGCCGGCCGGATAATAATGGAGCTCTACGCCGACGTGGTGCCTAAGACGGCCGAGAACTTCCGCGCTCTCTGCACCGGCGAGAAAGGCGTCGGGAAATGCGGCAAGCCGCTCCACTACAAAGGCTCCAAGTTCCACCGCGTGATCCCGGACTTCATGTGCCAGGGCGGCGATTTCACCGCCGGAAACGGCACCGGAGGCGAGTCGATCTACGGATCCAAGTTCAACGACGAGAACTTCGTGAAGAAGCACACCGGACCGGGGATCCTGTCCATGGCGAACTCCGGACCGGGGACCAACGGCTCGCAGTTCTTCATCTGCACGTCGAAGACCGAGTGGCTCGACGGGAAGCACGTGGTGTTTGGGAAGGTTGTTGAGGGTTACGAGGTCGTCAAGGCGGCGGAGAAGGTCGGATCTGGCAGTGGCCGGACTTCCAAGCCGGTGGTGGTCGCCGACTGCGGTCAACTCTAGATCTGCCTGCCTCTCTCGTCCGTTGATTGATCCTCTAACGACGGTGGATGATCCGTCGTTCTAAATAATGATCTATGTGCTTGTGATTTTAATTCTCTATCTTCTTTTCAATTATCCTGTTTTAACTTTGAATCTGAACTACTTTTATCTTTAAATAAAATCGAAATTTACCTTTTCTCTGTTCTTATATTGTATGTGTTTATTTGCATTGCAAATCCAGTTTTTCTTCTGCTTCATTTTGTATGGCAATGGCGCTTTTGTGGAATTAATTGCAATTTGCTAGCTTGACACATTTTTAATCATATTAGCTCGACTATAATTTGATTATCGTAGGAAAAATAAATAAATGAATTAATATTTGATTGATGGTGACTAGTGAGACAGTTACATTTGGTTGACTCAGTCCATCTGTGACTATTACCTATTAACTATTAAATATTAATCATTTGCTTAGGCATTAATTTAGCTCCAACGGTCAAGTTTGCTTATGTATTTTCAAGTGATCTCTGGAATTTGTTCCAGTTTGTCAGATATGATCTACGTTTTTTGTATAATTTCAAAGAAATTATACGTGGACGTAGATTTATCCAATATACCTAAACGATTGGTTTATTACCCGGAAAAGAGAGTGTAGTGCACCCGGGTTCCTTGGTTAAGAAAATAAAGTTATATCTGAAACTGAAAAATAAATTGAAATTGAAATGAAGAGACAAAGAATTGGTATTAAATTATGTAACTGAATAAGCATAGGGAAATGTCAAAAAATTGGTGGTGATAATGAAAAGAAATAGGGCGCTTTGCTCGAGAGAATCTTATTCTGCACGGGAAGTTTGAATATTATCGAGAATCAATTAAAGTTGTGAAAGTGAGTCCAATTATGATGATTTATTCGCGGGTCCTAGCCCCCTATAAAAGATGTGGCGCATAATTTCCGAATTTGTTTTTTCTTTTGCAGACCGATATTTTTTTCAATTACATTGTCCCGCTCCTAGTCCATGTTTTATGAATGCTTGAGACTCTCTACAACCGGTTGTATATATGGTTTGTTTGATACTACGTTCAGTGAAATACATCGGGTGATTATTAACCGTTGATCTGTAATACAATCACACGCGCACACACACACCAAAGTGTATGTGTGTTTAGTGGGAAGTTATTTCACCACATTAACTGTCGGTTAGTAGGTCATTCGCTATCCGCGATGGACTAATGAGTTTTGGGCCTGAGTCCTTCGGTAATCCAGTTCAATTGTGGATTTGGCCCATTTGCCAAATTCACCCATCCATCGTTTAAACTCGGTGCATTAGTATAATAAATAGAGTTACGAAACATATATGTTTTTCGATAAAATATGTACAAAATATTTGTGTGTATTTAATTAGTGGGCGGAAGTGGTTTAACAACAAACAATACTATGTAACACATCAACATCATTTTTCTTTAATCTAATCGCAAAATAAATAAATTAAAAAAGAAAAAGAAAAAGAAAATTGATGATGTTTGTTGTGTGTTGACCATCAATTATTCAATTATATAGTGTGACACAACAACATTAATTATTTGGTTAAGCAATTTATTCTAAGCAAAATACATATTTGCAAAAAAAAAAAGAATAGAGCTACAAGGAGTGGGCCCACCGAAGCCACGAGGCCCATTACCACTATTTATGAAATAGCCCATCATACTCCATAATAATACAGCTACAACGAAATGAATTATTTAATAATAATAAATTGAAATACAGCTGGCACAAAACAAGTCGTAAATTTGTTGAGCCGTTGACGCTAATTAATTTCAATAAATCATTTTTTCAATGCGCAGTCAGTCAATATCAAATAAATTTCTCCCCGCCACTCAACAGTTATAGCCAGCTCTAGTTATTTGTTCTTTTGTTTCATTATTATGAATTATTTTGTGGTTTTGAAACAAACTTGAAATGTTTGCCTGCTTTGTGATTGGCGGGAATTCGAATTTTTGTCGGGATATTAGATTTTTGTTTTTTACTTGCTATTGTACAGATATTTAGAGCCGCAAAAACGTAGCTCTGAGTTTTTTTGTTTTTCCAAAATTTTGGGGGTTTTTTCTCTCTCTGTTTTTTTTTGTTTGTTGATCATTAGAATTAGATTATATAGATACAGAATCGTCGTATATATACGTTTATAGAGAGGGAGAAAGAGATGTCGGTTTCGGATAATACGAGAGGGTTAATACTGGCAATTGTGTCGAGTTTGTTCATCGGAACCAGCTTTATTTTGAAGAAGAAAGGTCTCCTACGCGCTGCTGCAGCTGGTACACGCGCCGGTATGACTGCATTAATTACTCTCTCTTTTTTAGATTGTTTTTTAATTTGTTTTTGTTGAGTTTTTATTTACTCAAGTAGAGAGAGAGATCTGAATTTCTATTAATTCTTATTTAGTGCCATTTATTATTGACTGATGTGTGTTTAATTAGTGGATTGAAGTGATTTTAGTTCACTATTTTGCTAATTTGTGAAATTTAATACGAGAACAGATTATCGATTTTGTAACAGATGGTCTGAAATCTGAATTGATGGTAACAATTGCATTTTAGGCTAAGTTTTGTTGTAGAAATTTAGGTAGAACTATTATACTACTGAAGTCGAAAAGACGACGAGGACAAGCGTTGTAGACGGGCGGAACTAGATC